ATAATAATAATAATAATAATAATAATATGTGGTATTTATATAGCGCCGATATCCTCTGAGTTCAAAGGCGCTTCACATGTATAGATCATTTCACACGGACCGCTGTTTAAGGCGCAATTGGCAGCCACGCGGCTTACAATCATGAGGGGTTAGTAATTAGTATGGGTTAGTAGTAAGGCCTAGCCACACACACCGGGAATCATTCCCTACTCTTATGCGAACAGTGGTGTGGGTTCTTTAACGTCCCTGATAAATTCATTAAATTTGATTACTGTTTTAAGTAGAACATGGTTATGTACTTCTGCTGTTTTGGAATGTTGAATTCCACAAGTGCTGAATTCAATGCATAAGTGATGTCGTGATATGAATAGGGCACAAAGAGTATTTGGAGGATATGGATCTACGTCAGTTGTTTTGATTGTGTGTTTAGGAATGCAACAAGTCATGGTTTTGACAAGCCTTTAATTCTCCCTGACTCAGACCTGTTTGATTGTGTACTGTGTACTTGTATTGCCGATGTGGACTGGGATGGTSATAATGAACTTTTACTGGGAACTTTTGGCCAGGTAGGCTTCATTTTTATTGCTCTCAAGATTTCATCGTCTTCACTTAGTACTTTTTTACCTTAGTTTAGTCTTTCATGTTCTTACTTCCCTATTCCTTTTCATTTTTTGCATCACTCATTTCTCTKTCATTCTTGTTTTTCTTCATTTCTTGCACTTCCTTGTTCTAATTCTACCTATCTCTGAACTTACTTTACCTCCTTTAACTCGTCGATCAAATGATGTTTTACTTTATATTTTCAGGAATTGCTGGTTTACAAGATATCATATGAAGGCTCAATAGATATTAAAATGTCATGGAAAAGAAGTTTTACAAGTCCATTGTTTGCTATTGACTATCTTGATATGACCAGGGATGGGTTATGTGAGGTTGTTGTTGCTTGCTTATCTGGGATACATGTTTTACAGGTAATATAGAAAAGCGGCTTCCTTACATGTATGTCAATTTTATTTGGTTTCTTTGTTTTGTTTTGTTTGTTGTTAGTGTTGTTGTTATTGTTTTTTTTGGCTGTTATTCCAACGAGTCCATGCTTGTCAATATACATGGTAGTAAATAATTTTGTCTTTCGCTTTCAGCATCAGCTTGATGACACAGCAAAAGTATACACATCGTACACGTCGCGGGCTCGAAGTAATGCTCTTCTAGAGGAAGATATTGACAGYGTCAGTTGACCATGCCAAACTCGCGAAGAAGACATTTTTTGAACTTAAAAAATTGCAGTGCAAGAATGTCGACAATTTCGGTTGCCTATAATAAATTTGSAACCGATAACGTGACAAGTGATATAGAATTTCATACGTAAGTGCTACAGTCCTCACATAAAGATAAGAAGGCGTAGCCACCACGTGMACACAGRAAGCCTACGCAGTATATTTAGCCAATTGCAAATGTAAATTATAGAACTGTGTAATAAAATGCTAAAAAYAATTTTTGGCTTTGTTTCTAACCACCATTTCTCTATGKTTTGCACGGCTTACTTTAGAGTAAAAATCGTCCTCTGTCTCTGCCTCGTCCTCTCTTTGAAATGTTCCGTAGGCATTTTCTGCAATAGCAATACGAATTGCACTGTGGTCTCGATTTTTGGTACAAGTGTGGGTCAAGTTTCTTTTCAGTTCATGYGCCAAATATGGTCCGTTTGTGCTGAGCCTATAGACCACAATGCCACGATGCAACAAGTGTAGATTGTACTATAATAGTGCATCATATGAAAAAAATACCACAAATACCACAAATACGAAATTTGCTCCTGGGAAAACTATGAAGACTTTGGATTCCAAGTAAAATGATTATCATCCTTTGTCTTGAAATTCATGGACAGCAAAAAATGTCTAACATAAACTGCCCGTCAGTTTCGGTCCACTTTCTGGCCAGTAACCTAGAGAAATGCCAACCTGCAGGGACGCTGCGTCTGTTAAATGTCAGGAAATTAGTGAGAGGGGTTTAGGGTCTATCCGGTCAGCTCCTCTCTAGCGCACGGACATACGCAAAATGATCGACTCCAAGAAAAATTCATTTCCTTCGGTGAATTGTTCATCTTTTTTTCTTGTCAGTGTATCTCAAAATATTCACTGATGTTGTAGGATTGTAGTCATGTTATAGTCGATGAATGTCATATTTTYACAAAAAGCGTGTAATTATAATGAAAACATTAGGCCATTTCATGCTTGTGCTATACTGAGGAACGTTTTGTAATTGTCGAGGTGCTTTAAATTTTTAAAATAGTTTTTGTTTATATTATGCGTGAATGCAATACATACACGTGGATGCCCTACACGTGAACTAATTCCCTCTGTCGGCCTCAGACGTGAACTATCGCACGTTTTCTGGCCGACCAATCAGCATTTAGAAAAGATGATTGTATAGTGCTCTCTGATTGGTTCATTTTTTATCAATATGCTAATATCGACAACACAAGCGATCACTGGATCAGATTTGAGCAACGTTTTGAGTTCAGTGAACATTTTCTTGTATTTGTGCTCGATTTTCCCTTCAAAAAACAACTTCTTCGGTGGTCATTTCTCATCGAGGGTAAGATAAGGTCATGTTTGAAAACTTAGACTCGTATTTATTCAAAAAATATAGAAAACATTTTGATAAAAAGCTGTAAGTTGTTGACAAGAAAAATCCACTACGCATATCTTTTTTATGATAATTATCCCTTGCTTAACCTAGCAGTATCTACTATATTTTCTTAATGTCTGGATTTCTTTATATAATAATTTAAGAGAGTATAAAAAATCAAGTTATCGTTCAAGGGGCGATACCCATTGTCGAAAAAAACTAAGAAGGTTTAATTAAAGCCGTACTCTATAGTGAAATCGACGACATAGACATTTTAACTACCAAGAAGAGAATCTTATCAAAGCAAAAGAGCTGTTTTGAATTCTTACTAATAAGACTATGGAATGATATAAGTTTGTTTAATTTTTAACTTGGTTTACTTATAGCTTTCTTTAGTGGTCAAACTCTCAATATCTAATAACCTTTGAAGATATTAACTTTCTTAATTTTGTTGTTTGATTGAATTTTCTTTGTATTACTTAATATTTGTGGCTTTAGGTCTGTGGCAGCAATAGGAAAGCATTGAGAATGTCTGTGGAGGCCTTATATGTGTTGCCAAGGCTGGATGATAAGGGCTTTAGAGACTGAGATGATCATTAGTCTATCTCCTATATTAAATATTTTTCTGTTTTCCATTTTTCTGCCACCTTCACAACACACAGTCAGATATGTGCATGAGACTAGCTTGCACAGTCATCATTTTATGCTTTCATAAGTTATAATTCGGCTTCTCAATGTGTCATTTTCAAGACATTCTGTCCATCAAGTTGTCAATGCAGTTGTCGAGACATGTTGAGCGTCTGGATTATGAGATTCTGGATTATGAGCTGAGATGCTGATATATGAGTGTATCTGAAGATGATTGTGGTTCGAATTGTGCTGCCAATTATTTAGGGTCTTTATCACCTTTTAACCAGTTTTGTAAGCTTAATTGTTATGACTAATGTTTGGGTGCTATATAATTTTATGAAAGGATAAACAAAGAAAGTCACTGATGTGTTATTTATAAATTGATATACATTGCCTAATTCAAGTTCATGTAATGTATTGAATCTGTTCTCAAAACAGTATTTCATAGACTTCACAATATTTAATATACACAGAGGACACACTTACTCCATGAAACAAATATTGTTAAGAAGATGATAGAAATTTAAGGAATTTACACATTTCAGTACTATTTTTGTGTGATTTAAGTTTCACATATAAGTGTGTGTTGACTTTTTTAGATAGTAGTATTTTATAGTCAAGTCAAATTCTTTTTACAGTCTCTTACACCAAGTTCATTGACTATTTGACGTCTTGCTGAATCTAATAATTGCTTAAATTTTGTGCATTCTCTAGTGGCAGGAGTTAAATCAGGAACATTTTTTGATGGTTCTGATGTCATCAAAATTCTTTGCACAAGTTATGGACTTTTAATCCTTCGATTAATAATGTTTTCCTCTGTATCAATTGGCATAAGGACTTTTACCCCATTCGTCACTCTTACATAACATAGCCCTGGTGGGCTCAAAGTCTGTTAAACCAACAAAATCTGACCAATCAAGAACAAACCTCAAAGGGAGCAAAGGATATAATAATTGATAAAAGATAAAAAATATRTCAATTAGTTCAATTAATGCTTGTTTACACTTTCTTGTGATTTTTGAAGCGCAATTGTTGTGCGACCATTGCCTGAGTTTCGAACATTCTTGAAATTTAGCTGCAATTTTGCGGCAAGTCATTTTAGATAATATATTATGCAATACAGCATGTCATGACATTCATTAGATCTCAGCAGGTACGTGATTTCAGGTCCTCAGACTTGTGTCTGGAGTATTATTTTCCCAAACATGTTGGTACATGCTTTATGTATAGTTATTCAGGAAATGGTTGTCTAGGAGATTCTTGTCTTTTAATTAAATCTTATTAGAAGAATGATTGTCCTTTAATCTGATTTTGATGTGTTTTTCTTATTCAATCATTTTGTCTCAAGATAATATTCATGTTGTGTTTTTCATGACAATTTTATTTCTTATATTCAATGATTGTGATGCAAATTCTGTAATTGTCTACAATTTTTTGAAAATGAGACACTCTGGGGGGTTATCCTTGACTGCAGGTCAAATCCATGACATGTGACGCATTTCATGTTATGCAATGCACATAATATTCTCATATTCAAGTTATATATATCTAAGATTAAATTGAATTTACTAGAATTTTGAAATTTGTGATCAAGCAATTGATCAATGCTTATTTTTTCACAAAAATTGTAGAAAATAGTAGTTGGCTTTTTGTCCAGGATTGGGCACCCTGCTTATTGACCAATGCACTTAATACAGTTTATATTTACTAATCAGGGATTAACCATTGTTGGTTTTGTCAGAAAGAAGGGCAGAATAGGCCATTTGCATTATGTCATAACTTTACTACAACTACCAGAGAGCCTTGCACATTTTCATTGTTATTCAGATTTTTAATCCTCTTGGAAATTAATAAAACAATTGGCACTAATTGCATTACAAAAGAAAGTTGGCAAAGCATTCTGGTAGTTGTAGTAAATGGCGTCATAATACAAATCGGCTATTAAACAAACGTGGAAAGGGCCAGGGGGTTACGAATAATAATAATAATTATTTATTATTGTTATTAGTTTCAGAACTAATGGATACAAGCACCAATAAACTGCTGTATCTTTTTGAGGAAATCAAGTCCAAAATCAATTATCTTGAAGATGCATTAGATGAAATCAACCAAGTCAAGAAATCTCTTAAAGTCACTTCTGTTGATGTAAAAGCACAGATTCGTGATAGCATTAGTCGTCACCTTGAGGCCCTGCGAAACCGTGAGATATGGCTGTTAAGCCAGGTATGTAACATACTTTTTATGTACTTTTATGTTGTATTTAAGACAATTATGCAAACTAAAAATAGTATGTCATCAACTATGAACAGAAATACACTTTTCATCTGATGATAGTCTGGGCATGAAATACTAGGGGGTGGTTGTATGTAGGTGTATAAAGAATGAAAGAGTGTGTTTTATCGGGTGATAAAGATCCGAGCCGAAGGCGAGTTCTTTATACTACTTCTAGAACTTTAACATCCAGAAATCGTTATCATTTTAGAAAAAAAGCTAAAAAATGTGAAAACAGTGATAATGCATATTAAACTTCTACTGAGCATGTGCATTTGCCACAATGGCAAACGGCTAGTCTATGCTATACTGCATGTCTGCACATTGATTCAAACTGACTTAAAACCTAGCAAAGGTCTATGATGCGAAATTAAAACTGAGATCTTTGCAAGTGTTGGGTTGCGATAAAGCGCTGATGACCTTGAACATCAGTTCTTTATATCTGATATAGAACTGATTAATAAAACATCAGTTCTTTATATCTGATATAGAACTGATTAATAAAATATCCGTGCTTTATCGGGATATAAAGGCCCATCATGTGACCCAATAGTTCGATGCTCATTGGACTAATAGCTCATGAATTATTAATGAGTTCTAGAAGAAGTGTGAATAGTACTATATACTGGATGAATACTTATCCAGCAAATTAAATACAAAATCTAGCAAGTAGAAGAACTTTAAATCGTGGTTTATCCACCCTTCGTACAACCAGCCCCTTCAGTTTACATTCAAAATGATGATGATTAAATGTGATTAGTACCAACACAGGTTCCCACAATAAGGGAAATTTCTATAAAAATCAGGGAGGTTTGGATCTATAGCAGCATAATTTCTCCTTTCCAAAGTTTATATTCACTTAGCACTATTGTTGACATTTTTAATTAAAAGGACTAAATAGAGGCTTTAACTTGGTCAATGAAAAATTGTTTTGGTTTGTAAAAAGTCAGGGAATTTAACTTAAACTTATTCAGATGAGTGGGAACCCTGTACCAGTAATATCAAGATATCATTGTGTTAGAGCGAATTTCGTATGAGTGGGAAACGGACGGTACTGTACTGTGACCGTAATCGTACTGTAACCAAATTCTAGTGCCCCATTGGTTCACCAAAATTGTGCAGGCCAGGTCCGGTAACCGTGCGGTAACCATGCGGTAACGGTGTMCCACTCATACGAAATCCGCTCTATTAAAATATAATGTACACCTACTGTACTTGCAGAAACACTGTCATAGAAAATAGGACATTTGTTTGGTAAAAAGGGATAAATTAAAAAGCCAAAGGAAGATCACTGAGGCTGAATGCTCTTATCTTGTTTTAATTTATTCCTTTTTACTATAAATTCAAATGTTCTATTTTCTATGACAACTCTTCTGCAAGTAGGTGTCTATGAATTTATATGTCTTTGATGACGTTAATCTTGATTACTATATGATAATGATCATGTGATGTCAAGGAGTTATATAGAGTAGAATGTTCAAAACTCACTCGTTTTATATTTGAACTATTGCTAGGCTGAGTTGATAATCCATGGCAAGGAGGATGTGCTTTCACAGAAGCAGGGAGAACTACTTGAAGTAATTGGTGGGATGAAGAAAGTTTGTCATCTTCTTGACCAAAGCACTGGAGTAGAATGTCTTGAAATCTTTGAAGATCAGCTGAGTGAATTGATAACATCCGTGGAGAAATTGAATGTTTCACCAGAAGAAAATCCTAGCATTGCATTTACTGGTCAAAACCTGGACCTCCTGGAATCCATCAGGACTTTTGGCAAAGTTGATCACAGCAAAGATGAATCTAATATCACTTCATTGCTTAACAAGTTGGAGCTGTCTGACCAGCCAGGTAACAAGCGCAAGTTTGTCACCAATGCAACAGCAATTGATGATTGGTTGCTTCATGGAAAAAGGTGCCAGGAATCGTCTCTGTCATCAGTAGAGAAGTGGTTGAAAAAGTGCAAGACATATAGTGATAATGAGAGTGAGATGGGATATTCTGAAATGAGTGAAATCATTGACAACAAATGGCTTCTTTCTCTTCAAAAAAACAAAAGTCAGTTCAAGCAAGAAGAAGTCAAGTTGACGTACTTTACCGAAATCAAGAAGTCCAGCCCCTCAAAATGGATTAGAAAGTCACCTAAGACACCTGAGATTCCCACTACAGTTGTTGGAGAATCGTATTCCAAGATTGCATCTCTTGGAAATGAGTACTGGTTGATGTATAAGCAAGAAAAAAACAAGCAAAATAGCCTTCCTGCTGATCTTGGGAAGATCCACGTGGTGGGAGACTTCTCTAAATGGCTGAAAAACTCCACCACAGCCAAAGTCCCTGAAACAAGCACCGGACAAGCCTACTCTACTTTGGCTGCCTCGAGTATGAAGCGATGGCTTAAGCCTAAAAAGAAATACAGTAAATGCAGTGGAAAAAGAGATTGTTCAGATTGCGACCAATGGCTGTTGAACGGCTCAGGTAAATCAGTCAAGAACGAAGATCTTGAATCCTTGGCTAGCTCTGATTGGCTGAAAGTGAAAGATCTTGATGTTCTCTCTATAGAAAATCTTGATTCCATGTTCTCTGACTGCTGCAATACCAATGACCAGAGTAACATCAAAAAGGAAGATAAGTCTGGAGTACAGAAGTACAACATGATGTTACAGGCACAACCCAATCAAAACTGGATTTTGCAAAGATCCCTGTCATCTRAAGCTCCACCTGAGGTTAACCAATCTACAKATTCTATGAGAATGTTTGAAGAGTACCTGACGTCTAATGATTATAATAAATGGCTTGCTCGACCAAATGCAGTTTCTTCAGATGTTTGTAARTGGTTAGCAAGGAGCTCTCTTGATCGCTGCAAGAATTGCCCTGAAACTTGCTCCAAAGGCCTGTTCAAGCTGTTTGCTGAAGTAAAAGATACAAGTAGTAATATCTGGCTAAGAAATTGAAGCCCATCTCAAAATGACGGTTCCTCGGAAGCAKTGACTTTTAGGAGCTGATTATCAAGATGATTTATATGTGTATATTTTATGGTGTAGTTCCTCACAAGCAGAGACTTTTAGGGACTTAAAATCATAAACTAAACTTCCCAAACAATGACCTTCTTACTGGTTTCTCAGGAGCAGAGACTTTTAGGGACCTGAAATCATAAACTTAACTTCTATAACGATATCCTTCTTACTGGTTTCTCAGGAGCAGAGACTTTTAGGGACCTGAAATCATAAACTAAACTTCCAAAACAATGAACTTCTCCTTGGTTCCTCGCAACAGAGACTTTTATATTAGGGACTTGAAATCATAAACTAAACTTCCAAAACAATGGCCTTCTCCTTGGTTCATCGCAAGCAGAGACTTTTAGGGACTTATAATCATTAACTAAACTTCCAAAACAATGGACTTCTCCTTGGTTCATCGCAAGCAGAGACTTTTATGAACATTAAATATAAACTTAACATCCCATTAAAAGTATCCTTCTCACTTCGGTTCCTCACAAGCAGAGACTTTTAGGGGCTTGAAAGTATAAACTAAACTTCCAAAACAATGACCTCACTTCGGTTCCTCACAAGCAGAGACTTTTAGGGGCTTGAAATTATAAACTAAACTTCCAAAACAATTACCTTCTTACTGTGGTTCCTCATGAGCAGAGACTTTTAGGAACTTAAAATATATATTTTTATTTGTCTAGCAGAAACCTATAAAAGCTATTAAAATCTAGGTTAGACACTCAAAATGTTGTGTTTATTACATGAAGACTTTGGCAAGGAAACCGGAACTTTGTGTCCTGAATACATCAATGGGCGATTAGAGCGGATTTCGTATGAGTGGTAAAGGGATGGTACCGTACTGTGATCGTAATCGTACTGTAACCAAATTCTAGTGCCCATTGGTTCACAAATATTGTGCAGGCCAGGTCCGGTAACTGTGCGGTAACCGTGCGGTAACCGTGCGGTAACCGTGCGGTAATTTCTACCGTACGTTTCCCACTCGTACGAAATTGACTCTATTAACTACAACTACGTACCAGATTGACTACCTTCTTTTTAATGTAATTATGTGTCAATTGTTTTACGAATATACAAAGACAAAAGGTTAAAAATCTAATAACAATGAAAGTGCGCAAGGCTTTCTTGTAAAACAATTGTGTTATTTYTCCMTCGTCATTTCAAAGGTTTGATCGTATTATTGTCAAATATAAGTTAAAAGCCGGTTTAGTCAACAATATTTATCGTTCACCAATCGTTGCAAGTTAGTTATCGTTGGCATTTCTATGCGGACATGCAAGCGAAAATCTGAAATAATCTACTTTTGTGACAGATGAGTCTTAACACAGACAGATGCAGACTAATGAATCAAACAAAAAAGAATGTGAACAAGAAGATTGCAAATTCCGTAGAGACTTGAAATGCGGTCGCTACGTAACAATGCGCGCAAAAAGCATGCAGGCAACTTTCTATTGTTCTGCGGCAATTGCAATTCCTCGCAAGTCCTGGCAATGTGTCCTGGAACGGKTCGAAAGGAGGTCAGGAATGGACGGTAGGTCAACACTTGGACAGAACATTTACGACTGGAGACGGTCATTCCTAACTCTAAAACATGGCCGCTTTCCTTTCACGCCTTCCCATATATACTCAGGTTCAGGACGTTCAKTGACTACGAACAAAACATTGAACGTCATCGGAATCAGTTCCAGAATATCGTCCATTAACGTAATGGAAAAGTAGGAAAATCGAGAAAAAGCACACAGACTGTATGGCCGCCGTGTCTATCTGTGTACAACTGTTGCTGTTAAATATCCGAAAAAGAGGTYTCGGTTATGTGTCTTATGTGCTATTGCACAATAAATGATTAAAAATCGCTATTGAAAGAGTATTTTTGTTCATTGTTTCAAAAGAAAAAGCCCTTGAGAGCATGTTTGCATCATTATTATATGTGACGTTATATCTGTCAAGAAGAAGAGAGCTGTGATTGGCTGCTTTGTTTACCATGATTTGTTTGCCATGTAGTTTTTAAATTTGGTTCGCATCTGGAGAGCGGCACATCGTGGAACTTACCACTGACTGAAGCCATAATAGTGAGAACACTCGAAATCACAGCGAAGCCTTACAATCAAGAATACAAACATGGATGAGCCATGTAAAGAAATCAACTCTTGCGAAGCAATACATGRGTTACCTCCTCTCCTTTCAGATTTTGAAGCCAAAGTCAATAGTTTTTGCAACCACGAAACCGCAGAGTGTAAAATCACAGAG